GTAAATCTTCTCGTCTCCTGGTGTTCTTCGGTCGACAACTGCAACGTCTACAACAGTGGGTTTCTAATGCCCACATGGAGCAAGAAAGTATGGCGCCTTAGCAGCAAGCTTTGTTTAAAAATTCGCTTTCGCCTTCCTTCACGTCGCGATGCGATCTGTGCTGCGGGCTGATAGTGAAAGATCACAGATACATTAATTGCTCGACTTTCAAAAGCTGAATCTAACATAATATTATAATTTTGACGTTTTAGCTTACGTTGTGACGCTTTTCGGAAAGATACAAAAAATGTCACTTTTAGGGATGTTTGTGGAGCGCTCTCTCTTGACATGCTTTGGACAATACACCTGCAACGAGGATCACAGTACCCGGTCAAAGCAATATAAATAGGACCGAATTACAGAAGCTGGCATCGTTACGAGGAATTCGACATGTTCTTCTACTTCCTTTGTGCGCTTCTCCTGCTCAACGCCTTTACAACTGAGGTGAGGGGTTGCATTCAGTTGTGCTTAGCAGTATGATGAAGTGTCCACTTGCAAAATTGGGTACCTGCCCAGATGAGATCGCGCAGTGAATGCGTTCTTTCAATGATGCGCTAGATATCAATAACGAATCCAGGACCAAATTCATTTTCTCACTTCACGATTTGCAGGCATGCATAGATGCCGGCGATACGGAAGATTGCAAGGAGTACAAGGCCGAAGGCAAATGTAAAGATCCATCTATGCAAGGCTACATGCAGGCATTCTGTGCTCAAACATGTCGTTTTTGTGGGTGGTAACACCATTGGTCATCGGAAATAAACAAACTTCTAACATTTTGCGACAGTTCCGTTCTCGTCTTGCACAATTTCTGTTTTTTGCTATTCGTGTCCACAATGCCGTAACATCTTCTGCAATCTACTTACTATAACATCTAATCCAGCAATAGGAAATCTCACTGCCAACTTAACAATTTTTCTGAATGCCAAAATTGCGGAAGCATCCAATTTTCATTCTAGCAACATAAAAACAACATAGCAAAGCGGCCAGAGGCTCCGCGACATACCAGCATTTCAATACACCGCCCACTCCTTCTTCTTTTAAGGATCGCCCTCTACGGTTGGGTGAGCCCTTTCATCGGAAAGGCGAAAAGTAGCTCTCTGAAGAAACAATCTTGGACAACAAAATACGCAACATATCGCCTTTGTTTTTGGATACTGATCACCAATAATCCAAACATCGTTGACTGCAACGGCGATGATAGCGTGAAAACAGAAGTAGTGTGAAGCAAGACTACGAGACAAAAAGGCACGGAGAAGCAGAGCTCCGCTCAGGCTGAGTAGTTACAACGGCAGCATTCATAAAAATAAACTCTGAGCCACTCTGAAGGATCAGGGTTTCTATCACGGAGTGTGCAAGGCCAAAGGGACCTTGTACTTCAGCAGCGTTTTGCGTAATGCGTTCTCACAAAAGGAAACACTCAGAACACTTAGAGATAATCGCGCTTAAACACTATGGCCCGAAAAATGATAAGCGAATCAGGAGCATTGAGTTGAGGCTAGTTCTGTGAGCGCTTGCAGCGTGAACATATCAATCTGCAATAGTGTCAACCACAAAACTTTCAACACACGTTCAGTCATCGCGTGGCAGGGACAGCTGAGTGGTTGCGAGTGTAGGCTCAATGTCTGCACCTCTCAAAGCCGCGAGATTAATCCTTGCTGGTGTTCTAGCCATGCAATGCAGAGTTTGCAATAATGTGTTATTGCTATGATGTCACCCGGAAGTGGCGCGTAGAATCTCGAGTATTGTTTCAGTATGCGAGAGCTACCAAGGAGAAAACTGGCCTCTGCCCAGTCTGCCAAAAGAGCGGGTTTGGATCAGGACGCACGTAGGATCTCTGACTGGGGACAAAGACAATGCCAGGTGATCTCCCCAAGAAGACAAGGGTAAGAACCGAGAGGAGAATCCGGTGGTGGAAGTTGCACCGAGCAGAGAAGAGCGACCTCAAGCGAAGGATAATGGAAGTTGGTCTCCCAGATCCTGAGGGACCAGTGCAGCAGACTTGGGGCACTGCAGCTGAGATCATCCTACGATGCGCCAAGGAGGTACTGGGAGACGCGAGGTGGATTCAGAGGCAGGCATGGTTTTTGGAGCGAGGAGGTCCAGCGAATCGTCAAAAGAAGGCATACCAACGCTGGCATAAGACCCGAAGCCCAGACGATCTCGCTCCTACAAAGCCAAATGCAGAGAAGCTCGTCATCGGACTTGCTAAGGCATCGGTTATTTGAGACACCATGGTGAAGAATGTGACGAGCAGCAACAGTACCGTTGAGTTTCGACTTGCAATAGGAAAGATGAAGGTGGGTGGCTGCGGTTGATGGGATGGATACCAATAGGGCCTGGAATTGCGTTTTTGCGGAGCGAATGTAAGACGCTCACCGTACTCGAATCACGGTAATACGCAAGCAGGACGATTGTGGATAGAAACTATCGTCCCATCTTCAAGCAAAAAGGGAATGTCCAATTAACGCGAGGATCAATTTGACTGCTTCATAGTGAAGCCTGTAGAGCAGGCTGCGGCGAGGGCGAGGCCAAGGAGCTAGACCTAATCTTCCAGAAACAGTTTGTGTTCTCGCCAGGCGAGTGATGGAGATGTATCGAAAAAGGGCCGACCCCGCTGCCCACCGTTCCTCGATCATGCGAAGGAGCGTGCGGACGCTTTGCCCGACACGTGTTTTGGAAGGCCGCTAGTGCGCAAAATCGGGGGCAGTTAACTGTCGTTCTAGTGATGGACAGTACGAAGCAGTCAGGACGCCTACACTGCGACGCATAATTATAGTTCCACCTACAATTTCAGTACCCGGCTGGATATCATTTTCTCACGATACGGCGCTTATCTCAGTCGGATAGTAATCAGGGTTCCTCCCAGTCATATCCTGTAGCATCCTTGAGAAATTTGTTCGTTATGAAGTCACCCGGCAATGTGTTCGTTACGAATTCCAGCGGAGCTGACACTTTGACAATTCCTGCGTCTCTTTTGCTAGGATTTCCCTTTTACGGAAGAGTGACAGCGGTTTTGCCTTCGCTATAAGCTAAGGAACTTGAATGGATAATAATTCCAAATTTTGATTGGGTAAAAGCAAAATGCAGCGGAGAAGCTAAAGCGGATATTTTCGAAAAAATAAGGATAAAAAATTGTTGCTTTCTCAAACTGGATTTCCGTGTTAATATTCAGATTCGCGTTTATATGTGTCACAATTTATCTGTAGAGCCTTTTCCAAAAACATCCCCAGATTCAAGTTTTTGGGAAATTTGTAGGTGGAACTATAATTATGCGTCGCAGTGTAGTACCCCACATAGCCTATCAAAGGGGGGGGGGGTAGACATCACAGGTAATACAAGACGCAGTTATGAGGCCAACCTTCTGATTGCGGACGGTTTATGCATCGGAAGGGTGGAGGACTTCCGATACCTCGGGAGCGATATAGCCACCGACAGTAGACTGGACTAGGCTTAAAGTGAAGGGTCACGCAACGTGGAGTAGAGGGAATCCATTGGAATTTCCTCCGATCTAAGGTGCTACAGAACGCTCAAAAGAAAGGTGTAGGTGCGTGAGGAGTGACCTTCTGCTCGTATGTTTTGGCTCGCAAATTTGCCGGGGCCCCCCTGAGGGTGTTTTCGTTCCCGTTCATCTCCGACGTATATCAATCTGCTTCATTCTGCCCAGACAAAGTAGAAACACTTCTATGGCGGCCTCCATAGTGCACTCTTACTACAGTGCGCGTCAATTGTATATGCCACCCCCTGATTTTTTCAGTTTTCTGACTTATTTGGAAATTTCGTAAATCGGCATAGCAACCATCGTTTTCGGCGTGTCGGAAAACTAGGAATGGTGTTGTTTGATTTTGGTTAACGCGTGGATTTGAATTGCTCTGTTCTTTTGAAGAAAATGGGCCGCGTCAATTGCTTATGCCATCCTAAAATTTCTTCAGAATTTCTCATGTCTCTAACGCTATTCAGCTACGGTGTGCATGCAGTACAAATGAGGAAATCCTCCTTATGCAATGCACACAAATGGTGGAGCATTTATAACTAATTCGATCAGTTCGGATATTAGCCCTTATACTGGATGGCAGCAGCATGAAAACGCTTTATTCGAGAAGAGCAGCATGTTTGCGCTTGCAACCGCTCCTGCTGCTTGTGTAGAACTCAACGAGGAGTATCCAGGCAAAACTGGGGAAATTGAAGTGCTCAAGGAGCTCTTAAATTCTCATTTTCCCGCTTTGAATCCGTGGTCAACTTTATTTGTGGTCTTGGCTCCCTGCGAAGCTCGAAGCGTTCACGCTCACAAAGTCCCTTTTTAGAGAGAACATGACTCGTACCTACTACCGTCTGGTACCCATCACTGAACTCGATCGAAGTTTTCTTATCAAGGCGATGCAATGATGGCCCATGCCACCACTTCGGTGTCCCGTTCAAGTTACAACTGGCCCATGTCATCATTTTCGCTCGCTCGGTACGAAAATTTTTCCAGAGAGAATCCGACAAAGTTCGGCGATGGGGTACTACGCGGATTGTGAGTGCAACTCATATTCTCTCTGAACAGAGACTTTGTGAGCGTGAACGCTTCGAGCTTCGCAGGGAGCCGAGATCCACAAATAAAGTTGACCACGGATTCAAAGCGGGAAATGGGATTCAGACATAGCGTGAGAGAAATGTGAAATTCCGAAGAAATTTTAGGATGGCATAAGCAATTGACGCGGCCCATTTTCTTCCAAAGAACAGAGCAAATTCAAATCCACGCGTTAACCAAAATCAAACAACACCATTCCTAGTTTTCCGACACGCCGAAACCGATGGTTGCTATGCCGATTTACGAAATTTCCAAATAAGTCGGAAAACTGAAAAAATTAGGGGGTGGCATATAAAATTGACGCGCACTGTAGTATTACCAAACTTACTCAGAGCTCCTCGTAAACTCTTAGTAACTATAGGCTAGCGTTGATAACGTGACGTATTGACAAGCCTTTTTCAGTCATGTTGCTGCGAAAGCAAAGGGGAGAGCGCGCCAGGAACTCGATCTTACGACCTCTCGTTCGTGATTCCGGACCACCACTGCTGCTACATTTTGCTTCATATCCCCGTTCAGAAAATAGACTGGGAGATTCAGAAAGCAGATTTAAGATTAGTGTTTAAAAGCACATCCAACAGATAGCTGACGTTGCATTTTCTGGTCCATAGTGTTGAGCGCGATTATCTCTAATTGTAACTGTTCTGAGTGTTCCTTTTGTGAAAACGCACTACGCAAAACGCTGCTGAAGTACAAGGTCCCTTTGGCCTTGCACACTCCGTGATAGAAACCCTGATCCTTCAGAGTGGCTCAGAGTTTATTTTTATGAATGCTGCCGTTGTAACTACGAGCGGAGCTCTGCTTCTCCGTGCCTTCTTTGTCTCGTAGTCTTGCTTCACGCTACTTCCGTTTTCACGCTATCATCGCCGTTATAGTCAACAATGTTTGGATTATTGGTGATCAGTATCCAAAAAACAAAGGCGATATGTTGCGTATTTTGATCCAAGATTGTTTCTTCAGACAGCTATTTTCGCCTTTCCGATAAAAGTGGCTCACCCGACGGTAAACGGGCGGTCCTTAGAAACTGGGAATGCTTCTGCAATTTTGGCATTCAGAAAAATTGATAACTTGGCAATGAGGTTTTCCTATTGCTGGATAAGATGTTATAGTAAGTAGATTGGCCAGAAGATTTTACGGCATTCTAGACACGATAGCGTCAAAAAAAACAGA